ATGTAGTTAGAAGTGAACTTAAGCTTGAAAGGCGTAATTACATGTGCCCCTTGCATAAGAAGTCGTGTGAAAGATACCGTGTTCGAGTTTCAGAAGTTTTTCTGGGGTCTCCTGAATCCGTTGCTAAGGATGCCTGGCTTGCCTCCGAGCCCCTTAGGACTCGGATGGCCGAAGACTCCAACGACTCCATCATCTCTTCCACAGCAGATGTGATGATATGATATGGCGTGTCTGCTATATTCAGATTGAACCCGAATGCTTCGGGACACGGCGTGCTATGACGTTGTATGATGATGGTCTCCATTGTAGTTTCTGTTTTTGGTTTAACCAAATTTCTAGGATCCCATCAGGAAACCCAAAAGAGGAACTACAATGGAGACTATTGGTAACCCCTGCAATAGATGTCACGCAGGGGGCCGCCTGGTAGGCACGGCCAGTGCCTGGGCACTGCAGACAAGAGACTACTGCCGTTTTTAAGGGTTTAGGATTTAGAGTTTAGGTTTTAAGGGTTTAGGGCCTCAGGGTTTCGGGAACCCCAATCACAATTGCTGTCTGTGTACGGATTCGGATTACAGAGGCCTGCCTGCAGGGCTTCCTGAAACCAAATAAAACTGCGGAGCTAAGGACCAAGGCATGATAGACATCAGCACACTGCTAGCCTCTAAACTTTTAGCTGACCGGTATCGCAGTATCTCGCTGTTCCTTCCGGCCTCTTCAGAATTTTGGGGCTTTGGGAGCGCGCAAGGTGCTGAACACTCGGCCAAGCCTTCAAGCTACGTGTACCGTGGGGCCTCCCCATCAATACAAGAGCTACCGTATCTAGGGTACATAAGGGATTTAGGGTGAAGGTTTAGGGTCCTCTCCACAAGGATCCAAGGCGTCCAATGTAAGCTTGTGCTTTATACTTGGAGGTTCATGGGTAGTTATGAGTGGGGTTATAAGTGGGGTAACTACAATTATAACCCATATTAGGGGACTTATAACTTCACTTATAACTACCCATGAACCTCTAAGTACAGTACTGTTGAACGGACTCCATGAGAGTTCATCTGACAAGGATGGCAAAGGTCCGTGTTTCAAGGGGCTTGTACGTGCCTAAACGTTGCGAAGCTGACAAATCCAAGCGCAGCATTCTAGATCCCCAAGACCTTGAAAACCCAGCACCAAGAACCCGCAGGCAACCCTACATGCTCAACCTAAACCCTGAACCCCTAACCCCTAAACCCTAAAACTTCTCCAGGATCCTCGCAAGACTCTACGGTCGACGTCGTCTCAAGGCGCTTGGCAGGTAAGGCCTTCATGAAAGCGGCGGTGTTTGGAGACTCAGGAAGTGCGAATTTGGAATTCTTTGGGTTTCAGGGCCTGGGGCTCTAGAATGAGGGAAGGTTCGCAGCTTATCACTCGGGGTTTCCCGTAAAATCCGCGTGTAGGGTTCCCATGACAGAAGGCCAGAGTACTGAAACTTCACTGGGCCTCATTTACGGCATTGATGCTACGCATCCTGTTATTTTGGATGCTTATGTTGCAGGTTGCCCGGTTGCCCTTCTTGTCTGAAACCGCCCCCTACAACTTAGCCCCAAACACCAGGTTCCACCTGTCAGTGAGCACGGCGACCTCCAACCTTCTTAACTCCAACCTAAACCCTAAAAGGCCCTAAACCCTAAGCCCCAAGCCTTCTTATATAACTGAGGCCCTAAACTCCAAACCGCTAAGCCCTCTGAGGCCTGCGGAAGACCTTCCGCCTGAAACGCCCGCCGGAGAGCCGCAGTGACACCTCCGAACCAGGGAGGGTGCACAAAGGAGTCCGGTGGCAAGAAAAAGTCATAAGAATCATAAGTATATATATATATATATATGCACATATGTATATGCCCACAATGACTCAGGTTTGAATACATATGTAGGAATAACGCATAGTTCATTAGGACTAAGGCAAGATAAGGCAAGATAGGGCAATATAGACTGATCCAAATTAAAGAACAAACTATTGGTATACTTACCATATCACATTGTACTACACCACTCTATTCATAATCATATGATCTTACCTTATCTGTTCTCCGCTTGCATTATAACATGTTACGTCATGTTGCATTATGTTACAATGCATTATACTATATTCTATCATGATGCTATATAACACTATGTTATATTACATTATAGCATATTAACCTATATTCTACCTTACTGCAAAACATTATATTATATGTGTGAGTATATTATAATAAAATATAGTGCAATATTAGACTATATGGTACAACATAACAATATGATATGATATAGTGCAACATACTATATTCCATTGTCATGTAGCGTTATACTATGTTTTATTACATTTCATTAGTAGGTTAAATTAGAATATGTAGTATTATGTTGAACCAGATTCTATTATGGACATCCTAAACCCCAAGCAGGTGAGCCCTTCACTCTACAAAGGCGCACAGGACCTCGAAGCGTGGCGCTTGGCGTTTGGGGCATAGGGCTTCAAGGGCTGAAGCATGTTAATCTGGGGAGGGACGGGGATCTGCACAAATTATTGTCGCGATCGTAGGGGTTATACCCGGGTTTCCGGAGGGATTTAGGCCTTGGAGGGATCGAGGCTGCAATTTGACCTCCTCCCTCTCTCTCTCTCTCACTCTCTCGGTGATCTAGTCATGAATCCTAGTATCTCTGAGACTCCAAGGTGGGTTTGGGCTCTGACTTTCATCGAATCTTCTGAAGCCCGACACATGGATTCGCAGAGTATTCCGCCTGCCATGGCCGAACCGTACTCGGAGCTTCATGGGTAGTTATATGTGGAGTTATAAAGTCCCCTAATATGGGGGTTATAACCTACTTATAACCCCACTATTATATACTATTATAACTACCCATGAACCTCCAAGTACCCTCAACACTCGCCATCGGAGTCTTTAGGGCTTAGTAGGGAGGGCATGAAGGGTTGCTGGGGGGGGGCCTACTTGGCTTCTCCTCAGCAAAATTGCTTTGCAAAGCTCCGCTGGGAGACTGCGCAATCCAACCTCTCAAGGCTCAAGAAAGAGACACTGAAGAAATCCGTCTCAAGGATCGTGTTGCAAGTCTGCAGTGCAGTGCTACTCTGCCCATGCCGCCTGCATGGATAATCTTGATCTCTCCTGCGAATTCGACACACAACCGCTTAAACAACGACCGATGGACTTAGGGGCTTATGGTTCACAAGCCCCGTGGCCGATTGCAAGAGTGGGTCCGTCCTTGTTCCTTTCCGAAACGCTCCCCTTCCCAAAGCTCTCTACAGGGGGTTGAGAGGGGACTGGAGGCTGCCGCAGGAACCAAGGCCTGAATGGTCTACGGCTACGGACTTTAAAATGACGGGGTTTAGGAAGAAGGACGGATGAAATGGGACTGCTGTAGCAATTGACTCTGATATTCCACACATTGTGTCGGACCGTAGTGGTGGCAGCCGTAGGAATGGTAGTGGTGGTGGCCTCGGGGAATGATCGTAACACCACAGCGGCTAGGCTAGGCTAGGCTAGGCACAGCAGGAGCAGAGGACCAGCGTCATCAGCAGATACAGTAGACACTCTTGTAGCAGGCTTTATAGAACCCTTGTAGTAACCCTTAT